CACTATAATCATCATAGAGTTTCAAACATTTACAACACAGGGTTAGACCCCAACACAAAACCTGGCTGAATACAGGGATTTATACATGTAATTCTCAATCATTCCTACCATTATCTGTTACCAACTGAAACTTAGCACGAATTCTTTTGAACAAATTTTTAATAATACTTCATTTGGATAATAATTACATATGTACTGAGAGTGAGGTACAAAGAGTACAAAAGGAAATAAAATATTCAGCAGAAAATGAAGACATCCAAACAGCAATAACTTTTATAAATGATCTATATACTTAACCCCGGAGATTGAAGTATACACTAGACAATCCTACAGTGTATACCCAATGCTGACAGATTTATAGAAGTATAGACTGTAGGTAATGTTTAACATTGATACTTTGTAAAACAGTTCTAGTGTTTCTTCATGGCCGTTAACTTGTCATCGTAAACTATGATTTAATTCCACTTTAAAACTTGCCACCGACCTTGGAGGTGTACTCGGTAATGAAAACGTCTTTTGTATTGGCTCTTAAAAAAATTTGCTGATAAATCTTGAAAGCTACTTGGATGATGATGTTATTTTTAATAAACAGAATCTCATTTTTTTCCCCAAAAATTAAAACCTATTTGTTACCACACATCTACCACAGTACAACATGTCATTGTTATTGCGTGTTGTTTCTGATATACACTGTCCATATTTACACTGTTGTTGTGTGTTGTATCTGATATGTGCTGTCCATATTTACACTGTTATTGTGTGTTGTATCTGATACATGCTGTCCATATTTACACTGTTGTTGTGTGTTGTATCTGATACATGCTGTCCATATTTACACTGTTGTTGTGTGTTGTATTTGATATGTGCTGTCCATATTTACACTGTTGTTGTGTGTTGTATCTGATACATGCTGTCCATATTTACACTGTTGTGTGTTGTATCTGATTCACGCTGTCCATGTTTACACTGTTGTTGTGTGTTGTATCTGATATGTGCTGTCCATATTTACACTGTTGTTGTGTGTTGTATTTGATATGTGCTGTCCATATTTACACTGTTGTTGTGTGTTGTATTTGATATGTGCTGTCCATATTTACACTGTTGTTGTGTGTTGTATCTGATACATGCTGTCCATATTTACACTGTTGTGTGTTGTATCTGATTCACGCTGTCCATGTTTACACTGTTGTTGTGTGTTGTATCTGATATGTGCTGTCCATATTTACACTGTTGTTGTGTGTTGTTGATATGTGCTGTCCATATTTACACTGTTGTTGTGTGTTGTATTTGATATGTGCTGTCCATATTTACACTGTTGTTGTGTGTTGTATCTGATACATGCTGTCCATATTTACACTGTTGTTGTGTGTTGTATTTGATATGTGCTGTCCATATTTACACTGTTGTTGTGTGTTGTATCTGATACATGCTGTCCATATTTACACTGTTGTTGTGTGTTGTATTTGATATGTGCTGTCCATATTTACACTGTTGTTGTGTGTTGTATCTGATACATGCTGTCCATATTTACACTGTTGTTGTGTGTTGTATCTGATATGTGCTGTCCATATTTACACTGTTGTTGTGTGTTGTATCTGATACATGCTGTCCATATTTACACTGTTGTTGTGTGTTGTATTTGATATGTGCTGTCCATATTTACACTGTTGTTGTGTGTTGTATCTGATACATGCTGTCCATATTTACACTGTTGTTGTGTGTTGTATCTGATACATGCTGTCCATATTTACACTGTTGTTGTGTGTTGTATCTGATACATGCTGTCCATATTTACACTGTTGTTGTGTGTTGTATCTGATACATGCTGTCCATATTTACTACATTTTGCTAATTTAACTTCAGAACATTTTATCTATATCATGAGACCCATTTAATTGAAAAAAAATAGCATTATGAAAATTCAGGAAACAAATATTTTCCTTACTTTTCCTGAATTGAATCAATGCAAAAAAAAGTATTCTTTTAATATTCTTTTTGCAAGAGATGGAACAAAGTCTGTATATTGGTATGGCATGATCCAATTATCAATATTCCTAGAACCAGTATGTTTTCTATGACAGAATCTATTATTCTCTTATTTCTGTTGAGGTAAAATCTTTAAACATCAATATCTTCATCATCAAGCATATTCTGTTAAGGCAAAATCTCTGAACATCAATTTCTTCACCTTTAGCAATATACAGTGTATTCTGTTACAGAGAACTAGTTTACTGGACACTTTCAGATGCCTTTACAATTGCAGTCCAGTCAATTTACATGCTGTGTCATATTGTTTCATTAATTTGCATTAAACAGGTAGGATGATGAATTAGATTTGAATATGCCTATGTCAGTTAACTCTTAATTGAAATGTTTTTCCATGGGGACATGAACTACACACACTAATTTCTAATTTATTTCTGAAATAAATCAAACATGTATGTAAACAAGGACAAACAAGTAACTGGAATGTTTCAGAAATGAGAAATGACAACCATAAGTTTTCTCTCAATAAAAAATTGAATTTTAGCAAATCCTATGAAAACTTATACTCATCCTTCACCAGTGTTACTGATCAGATAGGACTGCATAACAACAACAGTTAAACAAACCACCAGGTAAATTTAGGTGATACATCACATTTCTGACATTAGAACCATTCAAGAAATGTCTTAATTAATTCCTGATTTTGTCCTGCTTTTGAAGGATGTCTTTGATGTGTCTGGTTTATGTAAACTGTATGTATTTTAGGCAGCAGTAATGCCATGTTGACTGACAATGTCATGGTAACTAGGCTAAACCATCAAAAGAAAGGTCAAATCTACATAAAATCTAAATATGGTAAGGCATAATCAATATATAGAAACATATGATTAATTTTAGAAAAAGAAATAAATGCAAATTTATGAATTAACAATGAATATCTTAATTCCAACATCCAAGACTCTACTTAATATTCCAGCAATAAGCCTGGCCCATACCTGGTGAAACTACATACAGAAGAACTGCTTTTTTAGTCCTGTGACAAGTCTCGCAATGACTTTGAATAAAAATTAATATGATGCCCAAACCCCCCTCCCACCCCCTGCCTCTAGCCCCAGGTCTAAATGTATGGTAAGTACGGTAATTTCTGACTAATAGTATCTCACAAATAGCAACCTAATAATAAGAGTTAATAACAGAAATAAATGATGTATCCTATTTATTCTAATTACTATCAATGGCGGTCGGTGTTTCTTAAGTAGCTGAAATGAACCATTTCACCCTATTTACACAAAAAAAGTGTGTGATAGGCCTCCAGTATGCTGTTCAGTTAGGTAGCCATCAGCTACTACAAGGAGACTCCATCCCAGAATGACCCTGGCAAACAAAAACCTGGTTTGGCATGTTTATTTACTTTTCTTTATCAGAAATACAAATGTAGAAGAAAAAAAGAAGGAGAAGTTGTATGGTGGCTATAACAGTAACACAATATCATCCAAATCACAAAAATTGATATCACCGTCCCAGCCGAACAGAGAATAATACAAATCCGACAAACAGATACAATGTATCATGCATAGCATATTCCTAAGTGTATTAAAACTTTCCGATACTGAATTGTGTTTTAATTCAAATATTGGTTTTACAAAATCCTCTGCATCAATGTAACCACTACATACACATTACTTAAACCAAAACCTGAAAAGGGGGACATACACTGGTAAATTTGTTGGATATCTAGATATTGTGTGGGAATTCCAGCATTCACTGAAATGATCACAACTGCAACCATTGCATGTATGACTGTTAAAGACCTGATAAATCATGTTCAATGTGTCAAATCTTCCATTACTCATGTCATTTTACATGGCTTGGTACAAGGATCATTCAATATTCAGCAACCTTAAGTCTGTGTCAAAATGATAACTAACATGATTCAACAGCCCTTAAATGGTACACCACTATTGTTCAAACATACTGTTGGTCCCGTCTATGACAGTAAAAGTTGACCACATGCTGTTGGATAATTCATGAGTGATGTTCAGTATACTGTTTGGTTACACTAAACATCAAATTAATATCTCAACTATAGTATAAAACATTACTATCTTGTCTTATTTCAGTGCGAGCACCAGTGTCCTTTTGAAAAAATGTTGACAAAGCAGATGTTTAGTATTTAAATAGACAAATTTTTAAATGAAAATTTAAATGGTATAAACATACAGCCTAATACAAATGAAGACTTCAGATATTGAGGTTATAATCAGTTACCCTGTACAAATGTAATTGTTCTTTATCAATCAAATGATAAACTGACTGATCCCAGAAGAAAAATGGTACTAAAAAAGCATGTATGACAAAACCCTCAAAAACTGCATGAACACTTCGATTTATAAATCACATTTTAAGAAAAGACTAAAGTTTACATAAAAATGAAATGTGACTGATCATGGTGATTCTACATACAATAAAGGTGATGCTTAACTTACCTTAAGTTCATCTGTCTGGTTCAAGTTGTTAGTGGGGACTTCATACATTTCACGACGCCCGGAAGGTCGAGTTGAGGACTGACCATCCACATGACTTGAGGAGGCAGTAAGGCGGTCAAGACTGGACATAGACATGCGGGCACCATCTGGCTTGGGCAGGGAGAACTGGGTTGGAAAGTCCTTCATGCTTGTGGAACGTTCCCTGTGGAGACGGGCTCGCTCACTGGCACTCTTGGGCTTGGTGGTGGTGGACACAGCTGAGGGTTGACTATCAGCGGTGCTCTTGCGGCGTATAATAGGAATGTGGCTGGGGTTGACAACCACAGTGGGGTGGGAGGACGGGGTGGAGGAAGGGTTGCTGGCAGATGCAGAGCTAGGTGTGTTAGCATTGGAGGTTGGCGGGGAGGTGGTGTTTGCAGCCAGCGTCTGCCATGTCCTGCGAGGGACAGTGCAGTAAGGGTTGTTGTAGTTGGAATCCGCTAGCACGCGGGCTGCATTCTCTATGCCAGGATGTGAAGCTGCACTTACATAATTGAGTCTGTCGCCAGAGCGACTAAGGAACTTGGATGATGCCAGTCCCATACCAACATCTTTGGCATCCTCAGAGGAAAGATCATGCAGACTGCTGCTTTTTCTCAATCCTTCTTGGTAGTGTTTATCAGTCCGGTGCTTCATGTTACGAACACCTCGATAGGTTGAGAAGGCCTGTTCTTTTGCCTTGACCTTCTCAACTTCAAAACGGTTATTGACAGTAGGAATATCTCCATCTGTTAGACTACTCACACTTGGTAACTTCCTGTTAGAGTCTGTAGTCAGAGGCTGAAACAACACAAAAAAAACAATGGCTTTAACAATAACATATCTGCCATGATACTCTCTCTAAAACAAGAAATAAACCTGTAAAGAGTTGTGGTAAAAAAAATCTCTTTATTTACTCCTTGCTTTAATACTTCATTGCTTGGATCACACTCGGCTAGAAATCATGTAATTTTAACACATAAATCCAAACCAAACCAAGGGTACCAATAATCTGATGTAGCCAATCCATGCCTTATATGGGAAATTACTTCCACTCACTTTTTAAAAAAGCAGATTTAGGAAAGAACTCTACAATGAACTTGTTGTATTATGAAATCCTTTTAATCATTACAGATTTGCTTCCCTTATTTTGGATTGGCAATTTTTAATAAGAGTTATCTCCCTTGCACCAGTTTTTACATCTCTTACCTGGACATTTTCCTTGTCTTTATTGCTAAAGATGGGCATGGTGAAACGACGATTTTTAGGTTTTGGTAATGACCGTGGAAACACAGAAAGAACTTCTTGCCACCTGAAATGAAACAGCTTAATGTTCAGTACTGATAAAAAATCAATCATAATTTCTTTCTTGATTACCTCGTTTCAATAATAGTGAAATAGACAGAAATAGAATATGTGAGTCATGGTTTCATCATTTGATACTGTTAAGGCATTTCGATCATAAGCTGAAGGAAGATTGATATTTCACTACATAAACAAAATAAGTTATTTTGTCATGCAACAGATGAAACTTACAATGGTCTATAATTCAGGATTTGTACAGTTAGTTAGTGTCATTCAGGTTCAGTTTTAATGGGATCTACATGATACAAGCTAGATTTATTTATAATCTCGTCTCTGTCCTTGTATTCCTTTAATGCCTGTAGTAAAGGAGAGATGGTGATATAGATTTAAGACTTAAGATATTGAGTAATGTTATATTTCCAGCTCCAGAAACCTTACCACATAATCTCCTCCTTGGAGCCCCCTTTGATGTAGTGGGTTTTGTTGGGGGTGATGATGTAGAGAGAGTTGGTATGGGTTGTCTTTTTCTCAGCATCTCCCACTTCTGTGCACTTATTCATATCCACTGCACCCTGTGGGATAGTGTCCGGCTGAAATTTCACAAAATTGAATTGTGATATAATTCATATACAATGTTTTATAAACTTAAAACAGACTTATTGCTCTCTCTTCAGACTTATTATCTGTTTGTAGCAAAAATATCTTAACTGTTAATAATTTTTACCTTATTCTACACTGATGAAAACAAAATCAAACGGATAAAAAAGGAATTTGGAAACTATAAAACATTGAAACACTATTCCAAAACAATTGCCTGATGTTTTTACAATAATATTTCCTATTTCCATTTCAACCATGTGTCTTGACAAATAAGGGGGGTAACTCTTGCAGTCTTACAACAATTATACTTTTTATCAATGCCCTTGCCCAACAGTGCATTACAGTACACTACAGCAGCTCTTAATGCATGGTAACCTTCAAACATCTATGGACTTCTTTTTTTTTAAATTTCAATGCTTCTTCCTACACAAAATTTCAACATAACATGGGCTAAATTTTCTACAGATATTAAATACACGTATCAAAGTATGAACATGAAAAAGTAGTTAAAAGTTATGCATTAATGATCATTTAATTAAGTTGGAAATTTTATTGCTCAAATTTAGACAACAACAGAGTTGAGATACAGAGAAAAACTTCAAGGAGTCCTTCCTTAAAATATGAGCTTCAGTATTGCAGTTATTTTGAACATTTTCCTAAATGGCTTTTTTGTATGTACATCCCAATGAATGGAGCTGGAGGATTCCCATCGATGGAAGATTCCTGACTACAAGAGAAAGCCATGAATGGATGATTCTGATTGACAAGAGGAAACCACACATCCTCACTGACTTCCATTTGTGATAATATACACTTAACTTACAAAGCATTGTATCACTTTGTTTATATGTTTCAAAGACATATTCAGTATATGAATACTACTCTTAAACATTAAACAATTAGATAGTTAATGTAGAACATCAGACTATTTTACATCAATTTTTAATAAAATGCTTACTAAAATTGTGTAGCTCAGCTTGAATGATGGTTAGATTTTGAAGATATTTTTCCTGTTTTCTTGTTTGTTTTTGTTTTGTTTTTTAATTATATGGAATGATTTCGCTCAAACAGATTATTTATAGCAACTTTTGAAACATATAGGTTGTGTCAATGTGAGTGACAGCTATACCCTCAGATTATTCAGATTTACAGACCAAAATAAACTTACATCTTCGTCCACTGAAAAATTGAGCTCTCCATCATCAAACAGTCGAAAAAACCGTCTTTGCCATCGCTAAAACAATAAAAAAATGTATGTCAGTATGTCATCATAATAAAACGTGCAAAATAGAATACCAGATAGTATATATTGTTTATTAAAACAACACAAAAATCAAATAACTAAGGCATGAACTTGAACATTTGTATTGTGACATCAGAAATGTGTTACAATTGGACTGTGACATCAGAAATGTGTTACAATTGGACTGTGACATCAGAAATGTGTTACAATTGGACTGTGACATCAGAAATGTGTTACAATTGTACTGTGACATCAGAAAGGTGTTCAGAAACAATTGTACTGTGTGACATCAGAAAGGTGTTACAATAGTACTGTGACATCAGAAATGTGTTACAATTGGACTGTGACATCAGAAATGTGTTAGTTACAAATTGTACTGTGACATAAGAAATGTGTTACAATTGGACTGTGACATCAGAAATGTGTTACAATTGGACTGTGACATCAGAAAGGTGTTACAATAGTACTGTGACATCAGAAATGTGTTACAATTGCACTGTGACATCAGAAAGGTGTTACAATGGTACTGTGACATCAGAAAGGTGTTTCAATTGTACTGTGTGACATCAGAAAGGTGTTAGTTACAATTGTACTGTGTGACATCAGAAAGGTGTTACAATTGTACTGTGACATCTGAAAGGTGTTACAATTGTACTGACATCAGAAAGGTGTTACAATAGTACTGTGACATCAGAAATGTGTTACAATTGGACTTTGACATCAGAAATGTGTTAGTTACAAATTGTACTGTGACATCAGAAATGTGTTACAATTGGACTGTGACATCAGAAAGGTGTTACAATAGTACTGTGACATCAGAAATGTGTTACAATTGCACTGTGACATCAGAAAGGTGTTACAATGGTACTGTGACATCAGAAAGGTGTTTCAATTGTACTGTGTGACATCAGAAAGGTGTTAGTTACAATTGTACTGTGTGACATCAGAAAGGTGTTACAATTGTACTGTGACATCAGAAAGGTGTTACAATTGTTCTGACATCAGAAAGGTGTTAAAATTGTACAGTGACATCAAAAAGTTGTTACAATGGTATTGTGATATCAGAAAGGTGTTAAAATTGTACTGTGACATCAGAAAGGTGTTACAATGGTACTGTGACATCAGAAAGGTGTTAAAATTGTACTGTGACATCAGAAAGGTGTTACAATTGTACTGTGACATCAGAAAGGTGTTACAATTGTTCTGACATCAGAAAGGTGTTACAATTGTACAGTGACATCAAAAAGGTGTTACAATGGTATTGTGACATCAGAAAGGTGTTACAATTGTACTGTGACATCAGAAAGGTGTTACAATGGTACTGTGACATCAGAAAGGTGTTAAAATTGTACTGTGACATCAGAAAGGTGTTACAATTGTACTGTGACATCAGAAATGTGTTACTATTGCATGAACCAACAAAGCAAAGCAGCATGTATCAACAGAAATATAAAATCAAATATAATGTTGGTGTTTATGTGAGTTAGGCAGAACAGGTGTGTTTGTGGTATATATCAGCTGGTCTCCTCTGGACTGAGGTGTATACAGGGACTTGACAACCCTCCTATGTGTCAAAATAGTACAAACAGATCATTGACCTGCCTGTTCCTAATCTCCACTCTGATTATGATGAATCTGATGTCACACAGCAGTCTAAACAAAATCACATACATCTGCCTGTTTACACCTCTGTTCTTTTCTACCTTCAACACAGTCAAAAACACACAAACAAATCCCTAACTGCTGTAGTACTAAAGTTGACACCTCCAATGTTACTGTCAACATCACTCTGACAAACCTAATGTTGACACCTCCATCACTACTGTCAACATCAAACTGAAACACATCATGTTGACACCTTAACTCCTACTGTCAACATCAAACTGAAACACATCATGTTGACACCTTAACTCCTACTGTCAACATCAAACTGAAACACATCATGTTGACACTTCCACTGTCACTGTCAACATCAAACTGAAACACATCATGTTGACACCTTAACTCCTACTGTCAACATCAAACTGAAACACATCATGTTGACACTTCCACTGTCACTGTCAACAGCAAACTGAAACACATCATGTTGACACTTCCACTGTCACTGTCAACATCAAACTGAAACACATAATGTTGACACTTCCACTGTCACTGTCAACAGCAAATTGAAACACATCATGTTTACACCTTAACTCCTACTGTCAACATCAAATTGAAACACATCATGTTGACACTTCCACTGTCACTGTCAACATTATGCTGAAACACATAATGTTGACACTTCCACTGTTATTGTCAACATCAAACTGAAACCCATCATGTTGAATAATTTGTATAATTAGTCACTAAGGGTATCATTTATGCTATATATTTGATGTTTTTCCTAACAAGCATGCCCCCACTTTAAGTTGCAAAGAATGCAGGTATGAATTACATTAGAATGATCACATACCATATCAACAAATTTTTCACCTGCAGTGTCTAATTTATGGCTACTTTTGCCATCAGATTGCAATGTGAACACTTAATTAGCAATTTCCAATTGAAAAGATGTTGTTTCATATTTTTAACATTAACATTAATAATATCTTGTTTTACAAAACAGATTCCTTTCTCGATGAACGACCTTCACATTGAACATAATATTTATTGATAAATGGAATGTAAGTGATTTGCTCCTTTACATGAACGTTGATGACCAAATACCAAAACTAGAGCAGTTCATGAACACTGACCAAATATTTAAATTAGAGCAGTTCATGAACACTGACCAAATACCTAAACTAGAGCAGTTCATGACCACTGACAAAAAACCTAAACTAGAGCAGTTCATGAACACTGACCAAATACCTAAACTAGAGCAGTTCATGGCCACTGACCAAATACCTAAACTAAAGCAGTTCATGGCCACTGACCAAATACCTAAACTAGAGCAGTTCATGGACAGTGACCAAATACCTAAACTAGAGCAGTTCATGGACACTGACCAAATACCTAAACTAGAGCAGTTCATGGACACTGACCAAATACCTAAACTAGAGCAGTTCATGACCACTGACCAAATACCTAAACTAGAGCAGTTCATGGACACTGACCAAATACCTAAACTAGAGCAGTTCATGAACACTGACCAAATACCTAAACTAGAGCAGTTCATGAACACTGACCAAATACCTTAACTAGAGCAGTTCATGGACACTGACTAAATACCTAAACTAGAGCAGTTCATGAACAGTGACCAAATACCTAAACTAGAGCAGTTCATGAACACTGACCAAATACCTTAACTAGAGCAGTTCATGGACACTGACTAAATACCTAAACTAGAGCAGTTCATGGCCACTGACAAAAAAACTAAACTAGAGCAGTTCATGAACAATGACCAAATACCTAAACTAGAGCAGTTCATGAACACTGACCAAATACCTAAACTAGAGCAGTTCATGAATACTGACCAAATACCTAAATTAGAGCAGTTCATGACTGAACACTGACCAAATACCTAAACTAGAGCAGTTCATGGCCACTGACCAAATACCTAAAGTAGAGCAGTTCATGAACACTGACCAAATACCTAAACTAGAGCAGTTCATGACCACTGTGATATACAAACAGGATTCTTACTTATAAAAAAATTAGAAAAAAGAAATGAAGTTGGTATGTTACATATCTATACTTGTAATTACACTGACATGATAAAAACTGTGGCTTTACAGATCAACACAAGTCTGACATGACTGTGGGGTGACATATTTCTGTTATGACAGCATCCTATGTACCTAATCCTGTTATAGATACATTACTATAACACACAAGTGCTTGTTGTCTGCCTAAACAGGTCTCATAAAGAATGTGGTAGATCAGGGTACACAGCAATACCTTTTCAATGTTAACTTCCCCTCACAGTAAGGAGCATTTCCGTGTTTATATTGCCACAAGGGTTGGGGATGTTCACCTGGTGTGTATTTACACACGATTATAATAGTCAGTTAGCATTACACCTTTAAGCATCATCAAACACCTGTTGATTTATAGCCAAATTTCTGATTAAAAGCACACATATATGTGATTAAAAAAGAAATGTTTTCACTGAAGGAAACTATTTCTACTGATTAAGTGGTAAAAACATGGGAGTACAAACACATTTAAGTATAAGTAGGAATAGCACTATCAGTAGTATAATTTCAAAATTTATCTTTTACTGATGTTATTCATTTCTAATAACGTGACAGTAACTCTGATTTCACAGAATTCCATTAAAGTGAAAACAAAATATATCATTTCTTAAATCAGGACAAAAGAGAAAACCATATCCCTCATTGATAACATTATTGATCAAAGCGACCTAATCCCTGTATGAAAAGGTTTCCTCACAAAAATCCTTCTTATCATATCTTTACTGAGAGCACTGTCATGTATATCCATCAACAGAAACACAAATATTGTGTGAGGAATCTTACTATGACCTAAATCTTTGAGATCACAATGGGATATCAGGCACTGGACTAGTTGAATAGGGGTTTAACATATATGTAAGGGATTGTCCTCCAGGCTATGAGCTAGACAGAGCCTGATAAACTGGAACTCCAATATACATTGGGCATTAGTGGTGAGCTAATTGCTAGAAAACATTCTAAAATGTATCAGCCATTGAGCCTGGTAAACTCAAATATCAATTCAGCATAGAGCCAAGAATTAATAAGACATGTTCTATTATCTATCAGATGTTGTGCTAAAAGCTAGGTAACACTTCAATATGTATTAGACATTGAACTAGCCTCCCTTATCCTGTTTAGAGTTTGCAAAGCAGTAAAATGCTCCAATTACACTCTGATTCACAAAACCCAAGAATCCATCATGAAGTTTTTATACCTCTGTCTACAACCCAACAAGAATAATATTGTTTGTAGTAAACTAGGCATCCTCTCTCCATTTACACATATCAAGATTTATTTTTTTATTTGAAATAATGCAAAGCAAAAATATAAGTACATGTTGCTGAAGAAGTGCATTGTTTTCCTAAACTTGTTGGAACTCCATGAAGAGCACTTCAAAAGGACTTTATAACACTTTTCTTTTCAAGTCCACTTCAGGGTTTCCTTTTTCATTTCTACCAATCTTATTACACTTGTATAACAGCTGTTGTTTATATAAACAGTGTGATAGGGTGGGGCCTTGCCTTTGATAATGTTTTTTAAAATATGGCCCTGGAAGCTAAAATATAAAGATAAGAGAAAATTTGAATAGAGTAAGGAAACAATTTGAAAAATAGTTTGACGGACTATTTAAAATGTTGAAAGCAAATTGTTTACTGCAATTTTTAGCCTGTTGTACTTGTTCAGTTTGTTGCAGCACACCATAGTTTCTTATCAGATTTCAATATGAACAGGATAAAATAAAGAGGTAGTCAAACATCTTAGCATTAAGACTGATATTGGTCATCTTCATCACGATCATCTTTTGCTATATGTAGGTCACTGTACCACTCTAACACATGTCTGTTATCATTTTCTCTTGGAAAAATTACAATGCCAGTGATTTATGGTGACATTCAAGGTAAATTTTGAATGTGTAAAAAATAAATTTCACTGTCTTTTTCTATCTCCTTGTCTTTCACCAATGAAACCGGATATAAGTTGTGATGATATCTAGGGGCAATGGTTTTACTTGACATTCATCTTGGCAAAATTTCAAGGCATTTGATGTCTGATTGAGGTCCATAGCAAGCTCAAGATGAAACACATGACAGGTGTGGAGAGTCCTTTTACAGGTAAACAGGTGCTATGTACCGTCAGATACTTTTTTTACCATCTGGATCATACAAAAGGATTAAGTGCTATATACAGGGTTTTCCATAAGAGGCGGTCGCCGGCCAATTTGACTGGCTACTTTGATCATTTTGCCGCCTACACCAATCCAATTCCATAATAATGTTCCGTACACGACTACATGTACACGGCAGGCCAGCCTCCTACTTTCACTACACAGCCTACTACTAACAAAATTATGGAAAACCCTGTATATATAATGAGTTGAATGACAATCTATTCCAAAAATTCTATTCTGATAATTAACAATTTATATCGGAAATGATTAAATATTTATAGATTACTTTTTCTTTGGAGGGTGGGGGGGTGGGGGGGTGGGGGGGTGGGGGGGGGGTGGGTGTTCCACTGATACCTGATGGTGTTTTGATACAAAAAATTAATACTGTACATAATACAGGTGGGTTATGGGGAAGTGTAGTGCCTGATCTAACCAACACAACATGGTAGGTCATATACATCCTTAGGATAGTCACCTCCACTCTGTGTCTGGACAATCAAAGAAAATTAGGAAAATTTCTTCACCATTAGAGATGCTTCCATCCTTGAAGGCAGAGTACTGGATAAATGTCTGTTTGAAATAACATTTGTATGCTGGATGCCTGTATATGCTAGCTACTAGTTGCAGACTTCTGTCCCAGTAAACTGATCAAATCCAACACAAGGCCTTGGGATTAATCCAATTAAACTATTCCTATAAATGTGGAAGAAAATTCTGACAAACATTTATTCACTTGTTGCTGGTTGCACTGGGTCTGTGAGTTCATCAAAATGGAATAAGACACCACTACCTCAGGAAACTTTAATACATCAGTATTAACACATATATCCACAAAGCCTGGCTACCAGTACCAAATATACGTTAAACAAATACAGAACTGTGCAATCATCTACTAGCTCCCCTCCATGTGAAATAAGACATTAAGACATTTCCAAGAGATATTTTGAACTGAATGCTCTTAACAGACAGTGAAAGTGCTGGAGTATTGTTTTTATAACATTTATTAAAATCCATTTGATTACAAAATTTTTTTACATAAAATGTGGCAAGATGAAGAAAAGTACAACCCTCCCACCCAAGGGGCAGAAACATACCTTTTACACGAAATAGATTCCCTGTCACCTAAGATTGCTTCAGACCAAATTTGGGCAAAATTAATAGCGATTATTTTGTGTGTGATAGTATCCTATGGAGTGATAGTGATTATATTGTGAGTGAAAATATCCCATGGAGTAATAGTGATGACATTGTGGGTGATAATATCCCATGGAGTGGAGTGATTATATTGTGGGTGATAATATCCCATGGAGTGGAAGTGATTATATTGTGGGTGATAATATCCCATGGAGTGGAAGTGATTATATTGTGTGTGATAATAGCCCATGGAGTGGAAGTGATTATATTGTGTGTGATAATAGTCCATGGAGTGGAAGTGATTATATTGTGTGTGATAATAGTCCATGGAGTGGAAGTGATTATATTGTGTGTGATAATAGCCCATGGAGTGGAAGTGATTATATTGTGGGTGATAATATCCCATGGAGTGGAAGTGATTATATTGTGTGTGATAATAGCCCATGGAGTGGAAGTGATTATATTGTGTGTGATAATAGTCCATGGAGTGTGATAATAGTCCATGGAGTGGAAGTGATTATATTGTTGTGTAGACCCTGGAGTGGAAGTGATTATATTGTGGGTGATAATATCCCATGGAGTGGAAGTGATTATATTGTGTGTGATAATAGCCCATGGAGTGGAAGTGATTATATTGTGTGTGATAATAGCCCATGGAGTGGAAGTGATTATATAGTGGGTGATAATATCCCATGGAATGGAAGTGATTATATTGTGGGTGATAGTATCCCATGGAGTGATAGTGATTATATTGTGGGTGATAGTATCCCATGGAGTGGTATTGAGTGATAAGTTCCCACTTGAAATGCTGATGATACAATTCCTATGTATACCAAAATTGGCTGCCAGTGTGTTGAAAAGAGATATACCTACATTTTTAAGATTTGTCTTATCTTGGTTCTTGCTCAGAAGCCAACAGACAGACACTTAATACCAACCCGTTGATTTCCAATTGGGATAAAATTCAGAAATTGGATAAACTCACACACCTGTTTTTGTAGCTTCTTAAATCTTGACATAGATAAACAAATGAACCTTATTTAAGTTATCTATTACAAAACCTTTAAGCTTTTAAGTTATCAGACATTGTTCCGCTTTTAAAGCTGTGAAAACCTATGATAGACCAGACAGAAATGTTTCAGTGTTTACAACTGGTTATGATAACAATGACCTCCACTGTTTACAAACATATCATGAGATGGAAGTTCACCAACTTCTGAATTTTCCAATTTCGATGATGTATACTGATTAAGAATTCTGGTATACAACTTTTCTCCAAAATAATCAGCAAGAAGTGTGTGTAATGCAAAATCTAAAACATGAAACAACAAGAGAACGCAAAGCGTGACATTTTCCCTCACGCCCAACAGTTCAACAGAAAGGCACACAATCATATATGTTAATATTACAACAAATCCATGGAATGGCTGGTTTAGACAGAATACAGTGTATCTTTCTACTATTCTATCTCAGTACGACCAGTCACTGGTGACTTATACTATCTTTCCACTATTCTATCTCAGTACGACCAGTCACTGGTGACTTGTACTATCTTTCTACTATTCTATCTCAGTACGACCAGCCACTGGTGACTTATACTATCTTTCTACTATTCTATCGAAGTATGACCAGTCACTGGTGACTTATACTATCTTTCCACTATTCTATCTCAGTACGACCAGTCACTGGTGACTTATACTATCTTTCTACTATTCTATCTCAGTACGACCAGCCACTGGTGACTTATACTATCTTTCTACTATTCTATCTAAGTACGACCAGCCACTGGTGACTTATACTATCTTTCTACTATTCTATCTCAGTATGACCAGCCACTGGTGACTTATACAGGTTTGATACTGACCTTGCTCCTATCAACTGGGTTGCTGAAGTCGAAATCTGGTGACACAAATAAATATCCACACTTCGAAATCTTTCTGGTTGCCTGGAATAAAAAAAAAGACTTTGTTTCAGAGTACTGTCAACAAACCATTATCAGATATTCTGCTTGGTCAATTAAGGGCATTGAACAAATCTTAAAACCTGAAATAATCAGAGACAGGTCCATAACAATTGTATAAACAAGCATGTTTGTGGATGTATTGCAACATGTCAATACAAATTTCTTATTTCACTTACAGACATATTACAACACAATAATTCTCTGAGATGAAAAAAGAAGTAAATGAAATATTCTAATGGTTACTCTAACAACAGTTATGAAGCTCTGACATCAGCTGTAAAAGACAGCACCCTTTTTCCTTGCAGCTTATTTCAGACATGCATATCCATGGCAACAATGGTGTAGACTGAGGGTGGAGGAATTTGGGAGGGGGACATTATCAGCAGGCATTACTTCCCCATTTATGATGGCGTCAACTTACATAACATTACTGACATCACCAATACTTCACAAGAAGATATACTTCAAACTACTATTTACTACAAAATTTATGGGGCCATTATGAATTAAACTCCATCATTATAGTTTCAAATAATAAGTATCCATATAAAACTCTGACATGACAAATAATAGACTCAACATAATCTAATCACAAATCTATCGTTATGGTTGTACCAAATGGCCAAACCCTAAAGGGACTCAAATGGCTAAACCCTAAAGGGACCCAAATGGCCAAACCCTAAAGGGACTCAAATGGCCAAACCCTAAAGGAACACAAATGGCCAAACCCTAAAGGGACTCAAATGGCTAAACCCTAAAGGGACCCAAATGGCCAAACCCTAAAGGAACACAAATGGCCAAACCCTAAAGGAACACAAATGGCCAAACCCTAAAGGGACTCAAATGGCTAAACCCTAAAGGGACCCAAATGGCCAAACCCTAAAGGAACACAAATGGCCAAACTCTAAAGGAACACAAATGGCTAAACCATAAAGAGACCCTAAAGGGACCCAAATGGTCAAACCCTAAAGTGACCCAAAAGGCCAAACCCTCAAGGAACACAAATTGATTAACCATAAAGGGACCCAAATGACCAAACCCTAAAGGGACACAAAAGGCTAAACCCTAAATGAACACAAATAGCCAAACCCTAAACCAACACAAATAGCCATACTTTAGTAGACACAAACAGCTTTAAATATTCTTTCCAATCCTTATCTGTATTTTAAACTACATGTATATTTCAAAGACTATTTGTAGAACCACATATGGAATATCATACCTTCCAATGTCTGATCGCCTGTCACCAAGCCCCAGTAAATGGCTTTATGTAGTCAGGTATTATCAGACATACAAATGTGATTGGAGATATTTATATCTTTCTCAAGTCCCCTGCTAAAATTCCAATAGCTGAAAGATATTAACTCTGAACAATTGTCCTGACCCTGATTTCCAAAAACCTGACCTGCTACACAGCTTTTAATACGGCTTCAAACATATAACTAAAATATTGATCATCATGTACAACTTACACAAGTAACTTTCAAGTACAGAGAGTGAGCAACAACATACCGCAGACTTGATATCCCAAGGTGATTCCAAACGGGTATTAAACTTTAAAACATTTCAATTTTTCCCTTGGCTTATACTGATCTGCATTCAAATGTTTCTGACTTATTACAATATATCTCCCTAAATTATCTCCTTTAAAGTAACTGTGTAATAAATCAAGGTACAATGTAGCTATCATACATATTGTTCAATATCATTTTTATGTCAAAATTTAAAGTCCATAAATCATTACCTACATGTCCCAAGAGGTATATTTATAGAATAAATCTCATATTACATTACCATTAAAGTATATTTGAGCAAGGTGAAATCAATAGACAATGTTCACAATGACCTCACTAATTTTCACTGGGTTTATGCTGGTCCTATGTCATTTTAAGCCTTTATTAATTTAGGGTAACAGGTACCCCAACCCTCACAAAAACCTTATCTAGAATCACAATTAACCTAATTGGAAAGATTCTATCTTTTGGCTGCCATATTCCGAAAAGTACACATTCGGCTAAAAATAGAGGATTAATAGATCACAAACAGGTTCTATTCATTTAACCTGTTAATCAGGTTGATTATGCATACAGAATTTAATGTTCCAATCGAGCTCAGGTTGGTTGACCGTTAATCTTTTGATGTACCTTTGTATAATGATTGAATGAGACATGGTTATGACAAGTTATCTGTGAAAAGCCCTTCTGTTTGTAAATATAAGGAAAGTCATTCAACAAGCAATGTGTGAAGTTGAACTTAGATGACACCTTCATTCATAAATTCAAACATCAGAAGTATGACCTGGATTTTGTCCAGATTTTAAATGCTGTGTAATAAGTAGGTATTGGCTTTATTGGAAATATACAATATTCACATACACCTGACATGTTGTATACAGAAAAAGAGGAGAGAGCTACACTTTTTCAATACCATAAATACTTAATGTGTATAATCAAAACACTTCATTTACATAAAAAAGTCAAGGTGATTCATCATTTTTGAATTTTTATCCTGAATTTTAATAACATGCCAATCTTTAACCACAATCTTTTAATGTGTACATAAACTAGACATGTTGATATTCAGATTGATTCTGATGTAAATGAAATCCCAGTAAAAATTATGTCTTAAGAGACCGTCTGCCATGTACACAACAACAGACATTGTATATGTACAGCAGGTAATGAAATAGGATTTCTGAATCAGATCTCTTTAGGACTATACAGATCTTTATAGCCTGAGAGAATATGGACATGAGACTATACAGATCTCTATAGCCTGACAGTATATGACAGGAGACTATACAGATCTCTATAGCCTGACAGTATATGGACAGGAGACTATACAGATCTCTATACCCTGACAGTATATGACAGGAGACCATATAGATCTCTATACCCTGACAGGAGACTGTACAGATCTCTATAGCCTGACAGTATATGGACAGGAGACTATACAGATCTCTATACCCTGACAGAATATGGACAGGAGACTATACAGATCTCTATAGCCTGACAGTATAGGACAGGAGACTATACAGATCTCTATACTCTGACAGTATATGGACAGGAGACTATACAGATCTCTATAGCCTGACAGTATATGGACAGGAGACTATACAGGTCTCTATAGCCTGACAGTATATGGACAGGAGACTATACAGATCTCTATAGCCTGACAGTATATGGACAGGAGACTATACAGATCTCTATAGCCTGACAGTATATGGACAGGAGACTATACAGATCTCTATAGCCTGACAGTATATGGACAGGAGACTATACAGATCTCTATAGCCTGATAGTATATGGACAGGAGACTATACAGATCTCTATAGCCTGACAGTTTATGGACAGGAGACTATGCAGATCTCTATAGCCTGACAGTATATGACAGGAGACTGTACAGATCTCTATACCCTGACAGTATATGGACAGGAGACTACACAGATCTCTTTAGCCTGACAGTATATGGACAGGAGACTATACAGATCTCTATACCCTGACAGTATAGGACAGGAGACTATACAGATCTCTAGAGCCTGTATAACTTTCAACATATATATGATCTTCCCGCAATATATTACCTACACAATTTGTTCAACCTTGGAAAGTTAAATGTTAATTATTTGCATGTGCCAACTGCTCCTGACATATTGATCTACAGGCATATACAATAAGGAAGTGGCTTTCTATATACCTCTCATTAGTCCATTTAATTGTGTGCCATTAATGTAGTCAAGTAATATTACAGTGCCCTTTAAAATGTGTCCTTATTTTTCTGTAATTTATTTTTACTGTACCAGCATAAAATATCCACCTAGTTTTGAGGTCACAGATAAAATGCTATCAACTAGCCTGTCATGACAGTCATTGGTGACAAGATTAAACTTACATAGATGTTTCTTTCTTGGGGGGGCAATTTGGTGATTTGGTGGACATTGAATTACAATATACAAGTTTTTTGTTATTAACAGGTACCTCCTTGAAACAGGTGCCCCATCAATTTTACTGTCACATATGTAACTGATACAAGCCATTCCACAGGAAATGAACACACAACTTTCACAGTTATAGTTTCAGGAGCTGTCCTGTGTTGTATTTGGTGATCGATCTGCATGACCCCATTCTCACGGAAATCAACAACACAAATACAAATGGCAGCCATTGGTATCTATTTTTCCTGTCCCACAATGCATAAAATTGTCCTAAACACAAAATCACCCCACCACAATGTCAATTGCCTCTCAACTGGAACAGTTTGAAATTTACCTACATACCACCGTAGGGTACAGTTTAAAACTGAATAGTAAGCATCTACAGCTAACATATTTTGTCAGTTTATGAGAAAATCTAAAATGCCTCAATCCTTAATCAAAAACTAACAAACTCAAAATCTATTACAACCAAATTCTTCCTTCACAATAAGCAATTTTAGGACTCCATTGGAGGTTCCCAAATTACAGTATTAGGTCAGTCCTTTGCAAACTTTCATATTTGTTCAATCAACAAGTTTCTTTCAGACTGGCTAAACTTGTTGTAACATAAAGACAACGGCCGAAGTGTTCCCTGATAGAAATTTATGGTAAAGTAAAAGTCTGCTTGGAAGTATGATCTCTTATCTGGAATAAACTACCATTTAATATGAAATCTGGTCCTACCACAGCTTAAAATTATAATTCAAGGAAATTCTGCCCAATTGCTCACAAAATATGGTGAGCTTGTTCGCTGTCCTATTCAGTGACTCCTGAAAGGTCCCAGAACAGGTACCAGTAGCCACAGGCTTACACTATGGCACCTGATCAGGAGCTATTTGTTTTTCTATACAAAACGAAAATGAAGTAATACACCGAAAAACAAAGATTGCGCCCCATTACCCCAGGAGATTGTAGGTATACAGGTACATAATGGTATGATTATCTATCTGTCCCCACAAAACAACATCAGGTCACGCAACCCGAAAATTACCCACCATACACACAGTAC